AACAGGATTACATATGACTATTAGTGTCTTGGCTTTAATGAATAGCTGAAAATTCCATTTCAACAAAGGACTAAGGAGACAAAGATGTGATGAGCCTTTGTACACACAAAAAAGACGCACCGAAGGAAATGTCTGTAAGTTAATAATTCATTCTCACTGAACAGCAATTCAGGCTCTCAGAGAATGCTTGCATATGCCCCTAGATTCCTTTCCTGTTCAGGGCTCTATATCCAGATCTATATCCAGAGAGCCCAAATATATGAGCAGCAGCATCAGCCCCAACTTACAGAGCAAGGATCTATCCACCCCTATTCTCTCAAGCAACTAACTAAAATAAAACTCCCAACTTTGGCATGCTATTTTAAGCTCATATAAGTCACAATGACACCACAAAACAATAAGAAATCTCATTATTCCACTATTTAAAGTCCAGAGTCAGAGAGGAAAAACAAAGTTCACGCTTTATATTCACAGACCAAAAGGTATATTCTCAGGGAAAGTGCATTTTTGCCAGAAAGCCTGATCCCTTTAGCCTGTAATCACCTAGATATTCCTGCTCCTCACTTAATCTGCAGAGTGAAATTGGATGTATAGTAATGTGGAAAGAAAATTTAAGAATCAATTCATGGGGGTAATATTTTTCAGTATTACTCTTGTTTTTAGTGTCAACACATGTATTTCTTCTGCCTTAACGAAGGCTCACCTAAATGAGAAAGACATGGAAGGAGTAAGATTGGTGCTGTGCCACATTCCTCTTGGCATGCCTTTTACAGCAGTTGTGCCCCTGGAGATATAGTCTTTTTAGACCTCTGAATGCTAAGCCTAACCCTAACCCTAACCCTAATTTTAGCCACCCACCAGGAGATGAAGCTTATATCACCAGCATTAAGGCATGCCCAACTGAGAAAGTTCTGGAAGGAGAAATATTGTTGCTCTGCCATATATCACTTGGCATGAATTTTACAGCACTAATGCCCCTAGAGATCTAGCCATTTTAGATCTCAAAATGCTAACCCTAACTCTAACCCTAATTTAGGCAGTTCTCTTGACTTGAGGCCTACATGTCCAACATCAAGGTTTGCCCACTTGAAAAAGTTCTGGAACAAGTAATGTTGCTGCTGGGAAACTTTTCTCTTGCCATGACTTTTACAGCACTAGTGCCCCTGCAGCTCTAGTCATTTTAGATCTCTGAATGTTGGTGCTGTGCCACATTCCTCTTGCCATGACTTTTACAGCACTACTGTCCCTGGACCTATAGTCTTTTTAGATCTCTGAATGCTAATCCTTACCGTAACCCTAATTTTAGCCACCACTGTTGAGTTGAGGCCTACATCTCCTTTACGAAGGCTCACCTAAATGAGAAAGTTGTGGAAGGAGTAAGATTGGTGCTGTGCCATATTCCTCTTGGCATGCCTTTTACAGCAGTTGTGCCCCTGGAGATACAGTCTTTTTACATCTGTGAATGCTAAGCCTAACCCTAACCCTAATTTTAGCCACCTCCCAGGAGATGAAGCTTATATCACCAGCATTAAGGCTGTATTTCAGAGTGATCTTTCAAAGATGTCAAAGTTCTTTGTAAAATTCTCTTCTCCTAAGAATCCATGTGACAGAGTTCATCAGCATTCTGCTCTGCTCTCCTGAGACCTCACTTGGAGTATTGTGTACAGTTCTGGTGTCCTCAACATAAAAAGGACATGGAGCTGTTGGAACAAGTCCAGAGGAGGGCCACAAGGAATGGGCTGCCCAGGAAAGTTGTGAATACTCCATCCCTGGCAGTGTTCAAGGACAGGTTGGACAGAGCCTTAGGTGACATGGTTTAGTGTGAGGTGTCCCTGCCCATGGCAGAGAGGTTGGAACTTGATGATTCTAAGGTCCTTTCCAACCCTAACTATTCTATGTCTCTGTGATTCTATGATTCTAACATAGAGGAGTGACCACATGACTGGAGAGGAAAAAAACAACAAATAAGCAATAATCGATCTGACAGTATAAGAAATCATATAATAGAAACAAATGTGCAAAGCAAATGGAACATTTAAGAGTAAACAAATTAAAGGGTATTAGTGGAGAGGATCAAAGCTGCAGCAGGAACTTATCTACTGATTTTTGACTATACTACTGCAAAATGTATAACTGCATGTGAAATACTGATACTGTATGTGAAGTACTCAGTATCACCTGTAGCACATTAATCACGCTCAGTCCACTCTTTTTGCACTCATCCTTCTCTGCATTGTTTCATCTTTAGTTACCAAAAAGAAGATTCACATGGATATTTGAAGAATTATCTCTAGGGGGCATGCAAACAGTATGTAGCCCACCTCAGTATTTCCCCCAGTAGCTAAGGTATGATACAAAAGAATAATTTTGTCATGGTGACAGCAGAAAACTGGCAAAGATTGCTGGTATTTAAGCACAAATTTAGCTGCAGAAAACTTACCAGCACCAAGTTCTGAAAGAGATTTGCGTTTTGGCAGAACTTGGTGTTTATCTATGAAAGCATTGATACATCAAAGTGTATTTAGGATCTTCTATGGTGGGAATCAAGAAAAAACAAACACAATCATGACTTGAGGTTAGTAAGCAAGTTTAATGGCTAAGAAATGGTCTGCTTATTGCCCCCAGGAACAGAGGTGAGCTTTGAAATGAGTCTGGATAGCAGGTAGCCTAGGAAGAGAAAATGCTGTCATACGAGTGATGCTGACATATTTATTTTTATGGGAGAAATTGGCAGTCCATTAATATTATTGTCGCTGAAAGTATAATGACACACTTTCTATTTTCTTTTGTTGCTTGTGTCTGCCTCCAACAGATTTCTATTACTTTATAACAGAGATTTTGCTTATTACCGTGTTGGAAAAAAAATTTAAAAATGCCCATTACACCCTGCTTGACAGTTCTATGAACAGATTTAGTTTCTGCTTGAGGAGTTTAAAAATAATTTCTCTTAAATAAGCAATGATAGTAGTCTACAAAATTAAGCTCTTGTTTTATGTAAATGTCAAATAATTATATTAGGAATGCGAAAATAAGCCATCAGCAGGAATGCAAATGCTTAGAACAAGATTGGCATTATTATTTTCATAGCCTGTCTGATAAGAGGCAATTTTACAGCAATGAGAGACACTGAGACTCCCATGAAGTCTAATGACAAGGCTGATTTCTTGCAAAATTCTTGAGCATAATTATGTTTTAAAATTCTGAAGATGCAACAGGCAGACTTTATTCTGATGTAACTTAGTGAAGTGTCCTTCTGTTAAGTTTGGTCTGACACACATGTATAATGGAGATTAAAAGTTGAATTGGAGGAGTTTCTTGAAAAGTCATTCTTTTTATTTTATTCTTATTTTTACTTTTTTGGAGGAAAAAACGTAAAATTACTTCACTTTAGATCTTACTATTCCAACGTCTGGAAACTTTGGATCAAAAATGAGTAATTTTGCTTTCCATGCTGTTGGTAAGTTTCATGACATTCCTCATGTGCTGAGAAACTGGCATGGAAATTTTATACCCTTCACCTTTAAAGTCATCAAAATTATTCACAGTTTTGATATTAATCTGGGAAAAATCTGCTGTATGAAACCAGAGCTTGCTTTTCTTTCCTTATGCAGTTCTACTCCCTGTGTTGACTTGGCCTTCCTGCAAGCACAAGATATTCATACTAATTTATCAAAGCAATGTTTGCCTGCAAGATTTAACAGTAATTAACAGAGCACGGTTGGCACTGCTGGCAAAGAAATGCACACATTGCTACAGTAGGTCATAGAAACACCTTTTCTAGGGGTTGTAAACTGAGAGCCCAGTTTATGCTCAGACCTGTTTTTCTCATTTCTGTATGCCATTTCAGTTACCTGTCACAGGTTTCTAACATGTTTGTATCTGAAAACAAGTACCACAGAAAAATATTGCACAACAAAAAAGGGCCCAATAAGCAAATTTTATCCTCCCATTCATTATTGTCACAGCTACAGAATCATGAAACTGAGCATTAAGGGTTCTGTATCATAATGCTATATCCTTTGAAAAAGATACTCTGGGAGGAAAGCAAGCATTAACATCACCCTATTTTCTACATGCAAGGATTAGCAGCACTGATCATCAGACTCAGAAGACAAATATTCTTTCAACATTGTGTCAAGTGTGTATGCACATATGGGAATTATGCATATACGTGGATTGCAGAATAGATACATCAGCAGAAACATCTTCATAGTTTGTGTTTCAGTTATGACGATGACATGGGATGACAGACCTACATTCTGAATCTGTTCTTCTGCCTCAATATGTCAAATGTATAGCCTAAAATAGAGTGCTAATATTAATAAGAAATTGTATTGTCATATGCGATCCTGTCAGCAGCGCCTACAATTCCAAGTTAATCAAGAATTGTTCTTGATTAAAATCTTCATGATTAAAATTGAGGATGAGGGTGACACTCCTGGCTCCCAAGGGCTCAGTTGTGCAGGTCAGCCACAACAGTTTTGTGGTTCTGAACAATCCATGTTCTTGTTTATAGCTGTATAGGAGCAAGTGCATTCATATGTACCAAATATGACTAGTTTCATGCAACATTACCCATACCCTTAATCATTTATGGTACTGAAACATAATATCACTCAGTGTTAAGAACTTCTGGGCAGACTATACAATTTACTTCTACAATATTAAAGCTTTATTTTTTTCTGTTTTATTATAACTAAATGTAAGGCTTTGTTTGGGGGATTTTAAAAATATTTTTTAACATTTATCCTATATACCATGTACATATGTGCTCATGTATCTCTTGAAAATATATATTGGTATAGGCACTGAAAAAGCCCCATCAGTTTGGAAAAAAAAAAAAGAACTTCAGCAGAAAGTAAGTTTTCTTTCCAAAATCCTGTAATTTAAAAATCCAGTGGGTTTTACTTTTTACTGAATTATATAGCTTCCACCGCACATGCTGTTAAAATCCATTATAAACCAAACAGAACTGGAAATCAGTATATACAAATACTCACTAGTTTCAGTAGCTACAATAGTTATGTTGTGCCACATATTCATTTCTCTGTCCAGTGGTGTTGCCAGAGTTATTTTGCCATCTTCTGCATTAATGTTGAACTGTCTCTCAAGGTCAGTATGCCGATCAATGGAAAACCTACAAAATAGACATCCCTGTAATATACTTAATGAAGCTGGTGTAATCCATACAATCACAAGACAATCTAGGGAGCCCTCCGAGAGCTGCAGTTTTATAGCCAAATGCATTGAGAAGCTCAATAGCATAATAATTTATAAGACGAAATGACAAACTGAGACTAAAAAAGCTTATAATTATTGCCTAAGGAGTAATTAGCTGTATACCCAGTGTGAAGGTCATAAAATGCCCTCAGGTTCACTGGATAACATCTTTGAAAAACGGTGCTGATCAAGAGTTAATTACATAATCCATCACATTTATTAGACAGTTTCTATTGTATTTCACAGCTACTGATGATAATTTCAACAGTAATGTATTAGGCACACAAAAATGGTGGGCTTCACGGTTATTTTTAAAAGGGCTGAATAATATTATTTTACCAATAAATTTCAGATTAATGAGGCATGAACTATTCACCAAGCATATTATCTGGTTATGGGTCAAGCAACTCCATGGGCAGAACACAGTGAATCACCATTTTTCCCATGAAACACTTTAGACCCTGAAGGACTCATTGTTTTATGTATTGACATCACTGATTTTTAACAAAACAAGTTTCATCTGACAGGCAGTTGGAGTTTGCAAATGTGAATGTCCAGGTAAATTATGCAGCCTCAACAGTCAGCTTGACAACAGGAAGGAGCTGCAGTAGGTTGCTCCAACAGTGCATTAAGCAGGATAATGATTTAATGCTTACAACAGGGTCTCCAGGAAAGCTTTTATGTTTGTCCATTTTCACAGAGTTATTTTATTAATGCATTATTTGCAAAAAGAAAGTAAATCACAAAATTAAGCCTTCCAATTTTTTGACAGGAGAGGTACGAAATGAGAGTGTTTAGTGATAAACTATTGATACAGTTCAACAAAAATTGACTTCAAGGGGTTTTGCTGAATCCTAATTGTGGATTAATATAAAAGCCTTTTAAGCCTTTGTGTCTATGTATTACAGAACTTAACAGCATGCACTGACAGTTTTTACATCTGTTCTGCATTATATCTAGGCATAATAGGCTGAGTTAGGATACAGTATAAGACTGGATCACATTATATAGTGGTCAGAAAAGGGACTTAGACTGTCAGTTCCCCATTACATTTCTACTTTTTGCAAATATGCTGCTATATTCACTGATAAAAGACCAAGAGTATATTTTGTTACAGTGACAATGACACAGTTATCTGAAAATCAGTTATTCCATTCTGGTTTATGCTTTATCAAAAGCAATTTCCAAAAAAAGTTCTGATTTCAAAGCTCCTTTATATGCTACAATAAACATATTCTGATGAACTCAAACTCATTCCAGCACAACACAATTGGTTTTGATAGACATAGTACTAATATCTGATTTCAAAGCTTAGATTATGGTGTTCATCTTTTTTTTTTTATTTCAGTGTCACATATTTTCATATTTAGAATGAGAGATACATTTCAATTAGATTGCTTCTGTAGTGCATCCAGTAAGATACAATACACGTTCAAAAAATTAGTTCTAAATTATGAAAATATATCAAAATTCTAATGTTTAAATGTTTACAGACTGTATTAATAGAGATCAAGCATAATCGTGCTTGTAAGGTAATTAACAACTAACAGATTTAAGAGTGAAAACCACTGTTTAATTAGCAATTGGGATTTGTTAGACTGAAGTTTTCTGTTTTTTAAATTCTGAGAAGAACTAGTTTTACTCATTTAAAAATGAAAAGTTTGGTTAAGAAGAGCCCTAGGAAAAATACAAAGTAAAACTCCAAATAACATGTGCCTAGAGCTGGGCCCATTCATCTGTATTTGGACACTGAAGTAAACTGAATTTCTAGTGAGCTCCACACACTCAGTTCTCAATGGTTTAATGAGAATTGTCCTGTCCTCAGCATTTCTGAAAATCAGGTCACTTGTGTGGAAGAATGAAGGTGTAGGTATCTAACTTCAGGCAATTGCATTTGAAAATATATGTTCACCTTATTTTGATATCTCCCTAGTTCCAATTAAGGTATTACAAGTAAAATTCTGATACTAGTGAAGTTAGTAAAAAAATACCTTACAGACTTTCACAGGTTGAAAATTTTACTCAAGACAATACAAGAAAAGCAGAATCAAATTTTTTTTTTAAGATGTCATCACTTGAAACTCTTTTAATTCTTGATGCTTTTGTAATTATGAAGAAAGAACTGGTATCAGACATCTATGATCTTTTTTACAGTTCACAAATGAAATAAAATACGAAATTCATATATGTTGTTTAAAGTTTACTTGACCATTGAGATAACACACAATTTTTCTCTAAGGATCAATCCTTTCTAAAACTTCCAATGACAGTCTTCCTGCCGTACAACATTTCAATTATAAAACTGAGAGTGTAACATCTGTGAGTTTATTATATTGCATTTCACCTCACCTCACCACAAGAGTATTTATTCACAGTGGAAAACCAGCATTCAAAATGAAATATTTTTAACATAAGATATGAGATTTTACAACATTAAATATCAAGTAAAACCCTCTCCTGATTTTAATTTGATGAATATTGAGTACAAAAATAAAAAATTAAAACCTGCAGGGACATAAACCTGGGAAAACTAACAGTACATTTGCAGTTCTGCTTTCAGGATAATGGAACTGTAACTCTCTTTAACGGGAATGCATCATCAGACCCATAAGCTAGACACAAAACAAAAGAAAATAATAACTTGAGAAACAGTATCTTTTGGAATTGCCCTAAGCCCAGCATAGGTTATTGGGAAGTTTTGGTGTGTATGGGTCTGCTATGGCGATTATAGGAACAACTCTACAGTGGTTTAGCAGATGACCTGCTCCTGCACCATTGCCATTGCTGTTACAACTTAATTTGATCTATTCTTTATTTGCACCAATGTAAATAAGAGCAGAAATCCTTTTTTTGCTGCACCTGCTGAGATTTGAATCACAGTATTGACATCTCATCAGTGGTAAATCACTACTGTTTATTAATGTCAGGCAGATCGGACATGCTACTTAGTGACAGATAAACAGCTGTACCATTAGGGATGCAGAAAATACCGTATCTAGGTTTTTAAGACCTGCTGTGAATTAAGAAAATGATCAACTGTTGCCAAAGATAAAATCTCTGTCAATATGAATGGGGAAAACCTGCCACAGTGAAGCTTATCTCTCTGCAGAAAAACACTGAAGGACAGTGATTTATAGAAGGGCAGATGCAGTGTAAGAAGAAAGATTATTATTCATGCTTTTTTTTCTGTGCACTTGGATCATGCTTTATCCAAGATAATTTACTGCAGGTAAACAGATCACAGTTATAACAAAAACATGAAATAACTACTAATGGCATCAATAGATTTGCATGCTAAAAATGATCTTTCAAGCCTAATTATACTGTAAGCTAGAATGTACCACCCTTACTAAATAAATGATGGTAAAGCTTTACAAAATTGCTTAGCTAAATTCCCTCGGTCCATTTCCCAAGAGAGATGCATGTGGCCTAGGTGTGTTAAGACGTGAGTCAGTGATGCATGCTTTTGAAATGGCTAGGCTAGAATAAGACAAACTACTGACCATGTTCACAATTTTCAGCCAAATTTCTAAATCCCTTTCACCAGCAGACTTAATAACATGCAGGCCCTAATGTAACATCCACTGCAGAGTCGCAAGTAAAGGTAAGAGAAATTTTGCTGCTTATTTTACAAATGCTGGGTTATGAAAGATATGATATAGTTATACTAACCTAATAACTGATATGAAAAGATACTTCATATTCATTGGAGAAACAGACAAGACTGATGCAAATGACAGTGATTAGAAAATGGTGTCAGGTTATAACAATTAGTATCATCTCCACAATGCTGACTGCTTGGGTAGCTTAAATTCCTTATGGCACTAATGTACAATGATGATTGTTAGTACCTAGACTTACTCTAAACATATCTTTACTATGAATTTGATGTTGTGTTTGCTTTCACAATGCTTTTAGCAGCTACACATAGCAAAATGTGTTCTGGGAACATTTGCACCATACCATACACAGGAGAAGACATGCGCTTATCAAAATCAGATAGAAAACACTGATCTGATGAAACTGGAATAACCAATTTTGTTCAAGTTAGATCATCCAGTATCTGAAGGCAGGCTATAAGGATGCTGGAGACGGAGTCTTCATTAGGGATTGCAGTGATAGGACAAGGGGTAATGGGTTAAAACTTAAACAGGGGAAGTTTAGATTGGATATAAGAAGGAAATTCTTTACTGTGAGGGTGGTGAGGCACTGGAATGGGCTGCCCAAGGAAGCTGTGAATGCTCCATCCCTGGCAGTGTTCAAGGCCATATTTGGCAGAACCTTGGGTGACATGGTTTAGTGTGAGGTGTCCCTGCCCATGGCAGGGGGATTGGAACTTGATGATCTTAAGGTCCTTTCCAATCCTAACTATTTTATGATTCTACAAAAAAAGAGAAAATATTGCAAATCAAAGATGCAAAGTCATACGGACATAATCATCTCTGACTTTCCGTCTTCAAACCAGGAATGGGTTTAGCCAAACAAATACAAAACATGTTTTGACAATCTTACAACTACGTGGAACAGACTCAGCACTGCTAGTGCAGACACTAGCAGGTTATTTAAAATAACTGCAAAGATACACACTGATGATTCAACCCCATCTGACCTCCTACACCCTATTTTTGATTTTCATTGCTTTCCTGATGTTTCATAAGACTACTCGTGTGGCAAGGAGCACTTTTGTGATTTTGAAAATTACCGTAACTGATAAATCTAACACTATAAACTGAATTATACACAATAATTTTCATAGAAATAAAATGGAATGAGCAACAGTGTCATATAATGTACTGGAAAGCATGCAGAATTCTACCTGTATTTTTTTCAAAGCGAACATTAAAGTAGCACTACCTTATAGGACTGGAGGATACATCAGGGTCATGGGCAGTCACCTGACCAATCACAGAGTTAATAGCTGCATTTTCATGCACTTCCAGTAGGTAAGTAGGTGATGAAAAGACTGGTGGCTCATCAGCATCCTCTACTACAATTTTTACCGTTGCTGTATCCTTGAATGGTCCTCCACTGATGAAGCGAGGATCAATGTGAATGTTGGTTGCTTCTACCTTCAGCGTATAGGATTTTTTTGTCTCAAAGTCCAGTGGCTGTTAAGAATGACAAAGACAAATGTTTTTTACTAATGGCCACAGAGAAAGAACAAGTGAATATAATGCTGATGGATGAAAGTTATGTGCATTCAAGCACATTCAGTGAGTTTTAATGTAATCACTTCCCACTCCCAGAAATCCAACCTGTAAATTTTCTAGGCATATATTGATGTCTGTTTATTAACCAGCCTCAGAGAAAACAAGACTGGTTTCTTGCTTTTCACAAAATTGTACCAAAATATTCTCTTTTATAAATTATGCTATTACAATTACATATCAGATAAATAATACAAATTTGTTGGTGATGATGTAACTTGCATACTAATCATGCAGTCAATCAGTGCTTTATTATTTGGAGACAAGAAAAAAAAATATACTAGCTACACAAAGGATAAATATTTTATTACTTCCAGACCAATGCAAGAAATGCAGAGAACTAGCATTTACTATTTGTTGGACAAGTGAGGTATTATGTGGAAAAATGTGAATTTGATCATAGTAGAAAATACTTCAACATCACTGCATGTCAGGTTTGTTGCACATATATTGCACACTTCTGTTTATGGGGTAAATTAGGTAGACATCTCTCTGGAATTTCTTAAGACTATACCAATTTCTATTTCTTTTGTTTCAGTTTGCGGGTGTTTTGGTTTGCTTGTGGTTTGTTTGTGTTTTTTTCCCATAAAAAGAACCATGAATCCAATTACTTTACACTAACAATATACCTGCCATGTCACCGTTGTTTTTACTATTTTGCAGTTCTGTGTTAAAACATAAAAGATGAAAACACAATGGGTTTAAAGGAATGAAATACCAAATAAAAACCAAATCTGTGATACTTTCGAATATTAGGATTTCTCATTATAGGAGATTCAAGTTTGTGTCTTGAAGCACATCAGTATATTCACTATGTAATTCTCTTGTGTCTCACAGTGATTCAAAATTCAAAGATGCAAATTGCCAAGCATTGGAAAGGTATTAAGATTTGCATTACAATGTCCCAGGGATAAAAAGAAAAGGACATAGAAACTCTGAATCTGCAATGCAAATACCAGCAAGAGCACAAATAGGAAACTTTAGGAAGTCTGTCAAAGCCTTCAATATATGTACTTTCAAATTTTATTGATTTTTTTTCAGGTATGAATCAAGTTCTAATGGGATTTGCTCTTTCTCACAAATGCTAGTAAACATGAGAAAACCTTGCTTCTTTAGCAGTTCTTAAATTAGTAAGCTTTTCCAATAATGAACGGTGATATATAAATCAGCATATTCACAATTTGCCAATCATAGCTCCTGTATCATTTTTTAATTACCTTTCATATATTTTACAGAAATGACAGCACCCCAATACAATTAGTCATGCTTAATCAGAACAATATATTGAGAATTTACTCTGCATTGTCTAAACCCCATGAATTTTTGCTGAAGAAAATCTGTTGTTCAACAGTACCCTCCATACATCATCTACTGTAGTAGAACCAAAATTATTACTGCTGTCAAAATGAATATATGAAACAACATTATGCTAGAGACTCAGTTATGAAATGAAGCTGAGGGAACTGGGGCAAAAGGCTAATTGCCTTAGTTTACAAAGAGGCCACAGAATTCAATAAATAACAGTAAAGAAGATCAGGAATGTATATCATAATTTTCTCTTTAGGAAAACAGAGCTAATTTTAGATAAATATACATCACTTTATTATACATCTACAGCACTGGCCTACTCAGTGAAAAACATAAAATGCAAAGTTTAGACAGGCACTCCTCCTGACCTCTTTAATGACAGGTACAAGTTGAATATTAATTATCTGTACTCATTAATTTTATTTTTTTTTTTTTACTGGAATGTCATGTTTTGATGTTCTGGGGTTGTGTTTTTTTATTTCTTTTTTTGTTGTTTTGCTTGTTGGTTTTTGTCTCTCTTTTTCATTTTATTTTTTTTTTTAAGAAACAAAGATTCATTTCAAATGCTCTATGCTACATATTTGAAACCTTCTATGCCAGTGCTATAAGTTATATTCATACCCTTTCTTGGAACAGAGCATGAGAATCGGCTCTCCCCCAGAAAACAATGAAAATTTAAATCTATAAATCTTTTATTGACTTTACTAGCCAAGTTTTGTTCTACATATGCTGTCTCCCCCGATATTTCTGTATATAATGGCGTGCTACTTCTGTTCTGTACAGGCAAACACCTATCACCGTGCATACATCAAAACTGTACAAACATAAAATAGGTAACAGAGCTGTAGCCTTCTCTAGAGCCCAAATTTGGCACTTCTCATATGAAACAGTATCGATTTCCTTGATAAGGTTCACTGGAATCACCATTCATCAAGAAAAGAGAATTCAACAGGAGAAAAGGTGGAAGACTAAGCTGCTCACACATAAGGCAATTCAAATAAAATGCTGACTTATTTTTGTCTCTGAAAAGTATTTGACCAAGCTATTCAGCAAATCAAATCATAGAGAAAAGATATTTGATTAACACTCAGCCAAGATTTTATGGAATTTTACATCACCAACAAAGTAGATATTAATCTACTCTTCCCCTATGGAACTAAGGTAGCAAAACCTGCATAATTTGACCACCTGGAAGCCCAGGTAAGATTAATGAATTCTGAGCACTGAAAATACTCCTATGGATGTATCACAGTATCACAGTAGGTTAGAGATTGGAAGGGACCTCAAAAGATCATCTAGTCCAATCCCCCTGCCGGAGCAGGAACACCTAGATAAGGTTACACAGGAACGTGTCCAGGCGGGTCTTGAATGTCTCCAAAGAAGGAGATTCCACAACCTCCCTGGGCAGCCTGTTCCAGTGTTCCGTCACCCCAGTCTCCCCAGTTGTCACCTAAATGGCAATTTTGAAGGACATGGATAATGCACCCCTTTTTTATCGCTTCACTGGCTTGACACTTGACTTAAAAGAATCCTTGAAAATCCAGCCTCTTATCACAGAATAAAGTCTGGCTGGGTATTTGTACAATAAACATTTTTTTTATACAAAGATGCCATTTACCTTTCTCACTCTAATAATGCCGTCCTGAGTTTGGGCATCTGTAGTAATTTCAAATACATCCATTCCATCTCCTTCAATAATATCATAGGATGATTTAGCATTGTCTCCAATATCCAGGTCATTCGCTTTCACCCTTCCTACTGGTTCACCAACAGCAACATCTTCCATTACTGAGAAGTGATACAGACCTTACAAATAAGAGAAAAAGAATAAATATTACACTTGATTCCAGTATCTCTTCCATGCTATTCATTTGTTTATATTTTCCTGATGCATCTTGAGATGCACAACTGATACAAACCACATATACGCAAGTTATTTACTGAAAGCAGCAAAATGTGTTCCTTATATGTGTACTCTATGTGAATGTTCTTTTTATGACGGTAGTATCCTTCTTTGCACGGATACATAGTGTTGGAAAAGATAAATATTAAACTACTTTCAACACTAAAAGTATGCAATGTTCTCTACTACAGACACTTTTTCAGTAGAAGTTATGGTTTTATGTACAGACATAGTTAGAATACAACTATGAAACTTCGTTTTTTGCTCTGTGGAAAATCATATACTTTAAAGATGTCTTGTATAATCTCAGTTCTTCAAAATCTTTTTGTCCCTTTTAATTTGGTTTGGTCTGGTCTGCTTAACTTATTCCACCTCCCTTTTGTGGTAAGAAACTAACTAAGAAACATTCAAAGAAAATCCGAATATTTGATTTAAAGGAGACAATAACTTTTCATAGCAACCATCATTGTGTTTACTATTTGGTTGTAGGGTTAGAACAAAACCTACTAGAAACTGCTAATCAAATTGTCAGCATTTTTCTTTGTATTTAGACTTGCTACAAACCTTATGATCTAAGAAGTGTCAAAAAATATTTAGAACTTGTAATACATTATTTTAGGTAAGCATATTATAAAAGAAAAACTTATTTTTTTTTTTACCTCTTGCTATTTCACACAGTTAATATCTGATTTAACCAACTACAGCACTATTTAGTAGCTAAAATAGTCAAAAGAAATTCAGGGGCAGCAGATGACACCATTAAAATAGGTTTTGACAAAGGGTTCTGGACTTGTTCTTTTCTGTCCTCACAGTTCTAAGACAATGTGCAGTTTTTACTGTTATGCTCAACTTGTAGCTTTCTAAAAATAAAATTTTCTGGAGTTGTTTCTTCAACTGTTTGTAGCCTGACTGCAGTAGTAACAGTTGAAAATCAGAAGTAAACTGTGAGGAATTCACGGATACATATATTAGCTGTACATACAGTTTCTCCCCAAGTGATTTGAGTTTTCCTTTAATGTCTCTAGGCTATATTATTAGAGATTATTTGGAGATCATCAAAATTCCTCAAGAATATTCATAATGGCCCACAAGCAATGACCAGCCAAATCAATCAACTGCTTCAGGAGACTACATTATGTGTTCGTAATTTCTATTGCTGTTCATATTTTGTGGGTTGAATCTCCAGACACAGATGATTGCACATTTGATATTTTTCTCTCAGATTTACTGAGATATTTCACAAAATATTGCAAAGAAAATCTATTATGATGCAGCCCACTCCTTTACACAAATTGCTCTCAAGAATTACAAACTGTCCTGTCAAGAAGTCACAGTGCAGAGCTGACCAAAAATCTACATTAAAAATCTTTGAAAACCCCTGGTTTTCACAGCAGCGCAGAGTTCTTCTCAGTACATGCCTATGGTAAACTGCCAGGTTAAAACTTCCGTGACTTATAAAATGCCTCTAAATTTATTTCAAAGAGATCACAGAAGTAGAGAAAGTTCATCTTTTTCATTTCTAAAACCCAGGAGGCTAACACTCTTTGAAATCAAACCATAAATATACATTTCTGTCCTGCCTGGAAACAATCAAGCGATAAAACACACTGCTTTCTGAGTTCATTACAATTTATTGTGAAAGCAGCATGTACTACATCTTATGAATTTCTATTTTATTCTGGTTAGGCTTTATTGTAAGTTTGATCCTTTTTTATTTTCCTTTCCAGGCAAATGCAACCCATGCTTCAACAGTGTAAAAAAATGTTCAAGACTTGATCAGCTCTTGTGTAAGGCCAGAGTCATGACTAATCTGTAATGCTAGTAGCATGCTATGAATACTTTTAAATGACACAATTTGTATTAACATCCAGCTACAGTATTTACTGTGGCTCATCCTCATTAAATGCAATATATACGTAATAATAAAAAGTTACACTACATGCAGTTGTTTGGTGTTTTTTTTTCTAATGAAGTCTCCTAATGGGCAGTTGTTAACAGGGTGGTTGTTCATAGATGGTAGCACAAATTCTTCACTGGGAGGTACCAGCTATAACAACTTCAAAGACAGCAACTCACTCTTTGTTGAAGGAAAACTGATCTACATTTTCCATAGGGAAAATATATTTCAGGGATCTGTGATGCAGTCTTCCTCCTGTTACCCAATGTGTCACTGTACCCAGATTACAAGAGAACAGACATGAATAAACTGCACAGGGAAAGTACAGTTTCCTCTCTGTATGCATTCACTTCTGTGCTTCCTGCTGAGACCTCCAGCAAATGTACCAATTAGAACCAGTTATGTTCCTGATTTTTGGATCAGCTTTTTTCATATTGGCAGGCAAAGGCTTTTTGAGACAGAAAAGTGCTGATACAAATATAAAAGTCAGGTAAGCTGGAAGAAGTAGATCTATAATCACTGAGTTAGAGATACAGTACATTGCAAGTATAAAAGAAATGTCCCTCTGCATTCTGGTGATATGGTTCAGCCAGGAGTCTCATCTATGAATATTTACATTATTAGGGAAATTGACATCGTATGTTGGAAAACACTATGACACAAGTGCAAGTAATGCAATGTGATCTGAAGTAAAAATTTATGCACTTATTTTATAAGAGAGAATCTTTTATTGTGCAAACATGATTATCTGCTAAAAACCTCTCAGATGAGGTAATAAAAATACCTTTGTCAAACAAGCTTTTTCCTCTGCCTATTTATATTTTTCCTCTCTTTTTATCTGCATGTACATTTTCAAGACTATAGGAGAGTATTTATCACATGCTGATTACGGGAACAAACCTATTTTACTCTTTGTGTCTTCAGAAAAGGGCAATAGTGGGCTTCGGGTCATACATATGCAGGAAAGAATTAATTTTACGTTTTGTGCATATGTCCCTTCTTAGCAAAACATGCTTCTAATAAAGTAAAAATGGTAAAAAGTCTAGATATGAATATTGTCCAGCCCCCAAACAGACTCTTAATACCTTACATCTTCAGTTTTTCAGAACCTGGATAAGAAGATAAGTTTCTAATAGTGCATTATACTGCACCTATTGCAAATAAAATTGATCCAGTCATTATGCTCTTCCCTCTTCTTTTTCCTTTTTGCCTTCATCCTTGAAATAGGCTGCAGCCTATTTCTTGTAGAGAATCTCAGCAGCATGCCAAATCATTTTAACCTAGCTCAGCAAGATATACATTGGAACCACAGTAGTAAATATGGATTTTGAATTAAAGATCATCAATTATCTGCACTCAGACTTATTTTCTTTGTTTTCTTCACTATTACCTAATTAGTCAAACATTTATTTCTTTTTTTTAATCAGTTTTATATGTCTTTTACTGGAGGTTTCACTTGTTTGCATGAAATGGAAACATATATAACAGCAACCAAAACTAGCACTTAGAAATAACTGTACTGAAAGCAAATAAATAAATGAAAAAAAGACCCCCAAGTGCTTGTGTGTGGAAGAGGGGTAACAAGGAAGACAAAGAGCTCTGTGCACTGATCCCTCTTTCCTAAGCTCTTAATAAGGCAGAGGACTATTAATCTTTCTCTAGTAGCAGCTACATGTTTTAAAATTACATTATAAAGCCAGGCAATATGATGATAAAACGAAGAGCTTGATAAAAAAAAAAAACAAAACACAAACCCTGAAACACTGTATTATTTTCTTATGTAGAGCACATACAAATAATGGCACTTACTTTGTGCAAACTTTGGAGGATTGTCATTGACATCAGTGAGTGTAATTGTCACTGTTGTAGTTCCAGACAGTCCACCCATATGTCCTCCCATGTCCTTTGCTTGGATGACTACAAAGTATTCTTCTTTGGCTTCTCTGTCCATGTTGGGTAGAGCTGTTTTAATGATAGCTAAAATAATGAGGGGAAAAAAATATCAGGTACAAACTACATTCAGTTTTGCAGATATTTTTTATGGATGTATGTAAATATTGGTATAAAAATTGAACTATGAAGGGTCCAGTTAAGTTACTTCTTAGTAGTACCAAGGATTAAGAAAAAAATAAGATTTTCAAAAAAGTATATTACAGGTCACCTACCTTGATTTAATTAAAGTGCAATGAAATTGAGGTCTGATTCAGAGAATCAGACTAACTCAAACCCCGAGTTAATTATACATGTGATACATATTAATGTTTGTTGTTTTTTTTTTTTCTTGCTAAACGTTTTGGTTTCTGTCCTACCTACCATAGAAATCCATTGCTTCCCCACAGAATTTACAAACCGAAGAAAACCACACAGCAAACATACTCTGTAAATATAGTTAACCGTTTCTGTCAGATTGTTTCAAATATTTTAAACCCCAAACCATTATTAAATCAGCTTTTCAATATAATGCAGGCTACAGTTGCTCCTTTAAGTCCTAAATCAAGCACCTGAACTTCTACTGGAGAATGACAGCATGTCTTCCAGTGTGTCTTTCAGCACAGTCACCAGTATTGCAAAATCCTGCAGTCACTTTACTGTCCCTGCTCCAGGGGGGTCACATTTTTGGACAACAATCTCAGTAAGCTGCTACCACCTACTTTATTAGGTTAGGAGTTTTTAAAACTAGAGAAGTAGAAAGATCTGTAGTGTATCAAAATACAAAATGTCATTAGGCTAGCAGGAAGGTATCTGAAAGGGACAGCCCAATTAAATAGGGAGCCAGATCCACTGCAAACTCCTGGAGGTTTCACAAACATCTAACAGAAGAAATAATAAACTACTTTTTTCTTTTCAAAACTTCTTCACCTGTAACATGGTATTATAGTCACAATATTCAATATAGGAAGTTCAGTATTAATTGCTTAGTGGTAAATCTAGAAGTATTCATCGCAGTCTAGTAATGTCCACCATAATAAAAATATAATAAGCAACTGAAGAAGTCCCACTAAGCCTAGGAGTAACATCTCTAAATGCTAAACTGAAATACAGCATTATTTTTTTAATCCTGTTTCTGAATTATGTTTTTTTAAAAAAAAAGAAAAAAGTCATTTGTCTGCAAAAAGAGAGCACACAGTTCAAGTTACTGAATTATCTTAGTGGTTAAGTGAAGTGTAAGAGTGCCCGAGAGGAATCAAATCCACCATTGCAGTGGTTCCTTTAGACCATAGTACTTGAGAGTTCTTATGAGGCATAAAGAAGAGTGTTCTCTTTTCATGTGCCTGAACTCACAGAGCTGAAGGACATGGTTAATGGGCAGACATTGACAGTAACTTGCTGAGTCTTTGCAACCCACTGAAAAAAATAAGTTAGGGATTCTATACTGTACTGTGTATTTGTTAAGATTTTATGTTGAACAGAGTGGCCAAGTTCACACCCTGGATCATAGATTCTTGTTACTGGGCCTGATCTTACATTTCATTACCTTTCACATGGCTGTTTTGGGTTGTTTGGGTTGTTTTGTTTTTTTTTTTAACCCTATTCTTTGTTGAAGTATTGGCAGGAATTTTTAGATATCAATCAATACTTACTGTGAGTCTGCTGGGTTTGGTTTCTCTGTTGCGACTAGCATATCGGCAGAGACTTCAGATGGCATTTTTTTCTTTTACATGGCATAGTTTCTACTAAATAAGCTTCCTAGAAATGGCACTCTGGCTGAAATGCTGAGATTATCTATTCATGTATATATGGCGAATAAATAAATGTTCCTGGTCCTTATCACTAAACAGAGATGCATTTTAGTAAATTATAGAATCTAATTATCTTTAATATTGTAATATGAAGAATCTGATCAGATCTCTTCTTGGCTGAGTACAGGACCAAGCCAAGAGCAAGGGAGGTAAGAGTAAGGCATTCAAATAAATGCAATGTGCTTGCTACATAAACCACTACACATAACACAGTAACAGTCTTGTAACCTACATTTTTGTAAATGATTTCCATGTAATATTTTGGGTTGCTTTCTTTTTTTATAAATATAATTCTGAATAAAAATGAAACCTTTATTTTATGCCTGGGACTGCCAAGCCAGAGCAATCTCTTGTTCGCGAAGAACTTGACGTATAATCTGTAGTTTTGCATTCCAACATGGGGTAAGTGGTATTAGGAAAAGCAAGGCTAACTGCAAGGCAGATACAGGTGAGCTGGAAGCAGAGAGTGGAAACGTGGAAGGCAGGAGCAGTGACCAAGGAGCCACACTGCAAAGTGGCAAGTCGGGGTTCCATTCATATCCAGGGACAATGATGGGGCTGTGGCCAAGCTCAGTCACAGTCTGACAATCATCCAGTCACAAGGCAGATATGAGGCCAGGGAAGGAAACCCAGCAGAGGGTCTGGATCTGGATCACAATCCAGATATGAGCCTGGGTGCAGATGTAGCACAGCCAGGGGCCAGAAGTAGAACCTCAGCCTAAAAGCAGCTCCCAAGCAAACGGACGGGCAGCCCCTGCATGAAGCTGTCTTCACGACAGTTTATGAAGCAACCTTGAAACACAACGTTCATGTGATTTAACTACTCTATACTGTCTATAGGAGGGGACGTAAGTTATTTTGCAGAACATTGAAAAGCGTGTTTCTGTTAATTATCTTTTTTTTATGAAAACAGGGGAACACTAAAACCCAAAAGGTAATAATAAACATTTATCAGATGTGATAGGTGCAAAATACGTTCAGTGAAGGGGTAGGGCTATTCCCTCTACAGCAGCTTTGGTAAGGTGAGTAAATAATATTTATTTCTAAAAGCATTTGACAGTTGTGACTGCTTTGGACTGACTGGTTTACTATTTAGGAATAATAATAATCCATTCTGTGAATAATTCTGTGAATAACATAGATAAGATGACACATAAAAAGGATGCCAATGCAAATTTAGGGTATCAGAATTTGGCCCACAATTTTTTTCACTACCAGAGCTGATCCAGCGACCAATTAAACTGTATTTCAATGAGCTTTGTACTAAGTTTACCATAACTTTTTTCCCAATATTATTTTTAGGCAGAGTTTCGCTTGTTTGCTTTATTTATTTTTCTAATCTAATTTACATAGTTAACTCTAGCCTACAGTTGACTTGAATAAGATGCCACATTTTGTATTCTGCATTTTTTTTCTGAGACGAATTATTTCAATGAAGTGATGATTTTTCCTAGACATGTATTTTAATTTGTTTCTTAGCCCTTGTCTATGGTTTGAAAGATATGAAGAAGATTAGATACCTTTAGAAGTGCCTAAATCAGAATTACAGTTTCTGCCTTTTAAGACATGAGAAATTGGGATGTTTTTCTGTATAAAAATACTAACACAACCTGCTCTTTCAATAATTTTATATATTCCTATCTACTTTCTTAGTTCATAAACCATTTGACAGAAGTTAAAATTTTGCGCAGCCAAGTTTCACTTTCAAACACAATAAAAAGCTAAAAAGAAGTTTCTTGTTTTAATTACTGTAAGAGGAGATGAAGGCTTTTAAAGATCAAATATTTTCAAATTACACAGGCTGATTGTTACCACTAGTATTCCATATTCAGAATCTATAGAATGGAGGTTAGCAAAAGAGAAGCGTATTTCTGATAAAGCAAATTAATACATAAAAAAAGACTCCATCCTCACCTAAGTAACGTGATTGAGACAAAGACAGACTGATAGCATTAAGAATAGAGAATTTCATGGATATTTATTTGTTCTTTTGCTTTATTCATGAGTTTTCAGTCTGAGCTCACAGGAAGTCCTGAAACTTTCAATCTGTTTTTAGAAAACAGTTCAGGCTCACCAAATACTGATACACATCCAGCACACAGAACATTAACACACTGAACATTCAACCTGCTCTACTTCAACCCAGAAGCAAATTGAGAATAAAAACATAATCACTTTCTCCATACTATGATGGATGAAAATGATACGTGCCGAACAGGAAAGTAGTTTGAGGGATGAGAATTACTGAAAACTAATGTAAGGCAGGTAGATGCTTGTTGGAAGATTGTACTCACAAAAGTTATCAATGGCTTACTGTCAAAGTGGATAGATGCATGAAGTGGTTCATAGGGTTTGTTCTGCTTCTAGCATCATTTGGTATTTCCTGAATGATGGAAGAGATGAAGAACTTATCAAGTTTTTCAGATGACACAAAGCTGGGAGCCATTGCAAGTACTGGAAGAACAGGATTAGATTTCAAAGCAATTTTTACTAACTGGATGGTCTAAAAATCCAGGATGTGACTGAATGTGACAAATAAAAGTATTTTGTGTGGGTGAAACAATTAACTACACAATTACAACAGAGCAGATGACTCACAAGGCAGAAACAACTGTGGAGTCAAAAATGAGCTGAATATGAGTCAATAGTTTTTTGCTGAATAAAAACAAACATTTCCTGGTATATTAGCTAATATGTTATATGGAACGACTGTAGAAAAATCCTTCCAGTTCACTTATATTGGTAAAGCTGCACCTGGAATGGTGTGTCCACTTTTGAAAAACAGTGGTTTGTATAGTTAGGGAAGCATGAGGAGAGACTTTATATCCAAATACATAAAAACTACTGGAAGCTACTCTCCTTTTCCACTGGGGATAAGAGAAGAAATGATGAGCCTAAAATATAAGCCACAAAATGGGTTTAAATTGCAGCAAGAGAGATTTCAGTTAAACATTAAGGGAACACTTTCTAAAAAGAAGGTAAGTACAGACAGAAGGCTGTTTGAAGAATCTGTAGTATTTCCATTACTGAGAGTTTTTAAGAACCTATCAAACAAACGTCTTTCGAGAATGAGAAAAGCTAAACCTGATCCTTTTCTGAGGCAAGGGCACTCAACTGCATTCTCACTTGAGGTCTCTTACATCCATATTGTGTAACATACGGCTTTCTCTCTATTCATGAAAATCCTCTCTCTATTCTAAAATATTTCACAAACCTTAGTCCTATGAAAATATTTGA